CTATCGCCTTGTTTTGTGTTAGTTTAAGTTTTAAACAAGTCCGGTTTACAATCTTTTACTATACAATATGTTAAAATAATAATAAAAAAAATGTATAAAGATGCCATTTATTGCGTCACTGATCATATACAGGGTGGTTCCTCTTTTTCCGGCGAAAATTCGGGATTAGTGGGAATACGTGAAAATAATGTGGGTTTGTTCCATAAACAATTGTTTATACCATTATAATTAATTATACAAGCTGTTTGAAAAATGTGATATACAGGGTGAATATAAAGTATGGAACCAATCGGTTTTATTTATTTAAATAATAATTAATATAAATTAAATTAATATAAAAAATGTGATCGTAATTTCAGAACGAAATTTTGTTTTGTTTTTGAGTTAAGCGATTTTTTTTGTCGAAATTGCAATTTATGTGAAAAAAATTTTTAGAAAAAATTAAAAATAAAGCAGATAGTTGTAATTCTTAGAGTATAGCTTTTATGAGGAAAATGATTTTATAGTGGGTTGCCATTCAAAAAAATTAATTTTTTTGTAGAACTCAAAAATAAAAGAAAATTTCGAAAAATTTTATTCTTGTTAAATTATCACATTTTTATAGTACTTTAGCACTCATCAATTAGTTTTTTCCAAAAATAAATAGTTTAAGCAAAAAACGTTTGGTTCCATACTTTTTATTCACCTGGTATGTAAAAACGTATGTTTTTTTTTTTAAAGAAACACTAATATTTTTCTCATTTTGTAAAATAAGATTGTGTCAGAACTCGCACTTTAGAAAAAAATTTCAAGTAAGACAAGATACCAGAAACATGAAAAAAATGGCTCGGCTATCGCCTTGTTTTGTGTTAGTTTAAGTTTTAAACAAGTCCGGTTTACAATCTTTTACTATATAATATGTTAAAATAATAATAAAAAAATGTATAAAGGAGCCATTTATTGCGTCACTGATCATATACAGGTGGTTCCACTTTTTCCGGCGAAAACTCAGGATTAGTGGGAACACGTGAAAATAATGTGGGTTTGTTCTATAAACAATTGTTTATACCATTATAATTAATTATACAAGCTGTTTGAAAAATGTGATATATGTAATACAAACTTATGTTTTTTTTTTAAAGAAACACTAATATTTTTCACATTTTGTGAAATAAGATTTGATTTTCTAGATATACAGGGTGTCAGAACTCGCACTTTAGAGAAAAATTTGAAGTAAGCAAGATACCAGAAACATGAAAAAAATGTTAAAAAATTTCTGTGAAAAATTTTTGACATTTGACATTTTTTATGTTCATGATGATCTTGTATATGTTTTTTTTTTATAATTATGTAGCAAAGGTACAAAAACTTTGCCAATAAAAGCCACAAATAACATTAAAAGAGTTATAATTTAGGATACAGTTCTCTTTTTTCCTCTTCTAATATCTCTCATAACATCGAAATTTTTATAAATATATTTTTTTTAACTTTTTTTTCCATGTTTCTGGTATCGTACTAAGGTACGGTAAGCCTGGGCGTGAGTTCTGGGCCACCTGTAGACACGGCTTTAAAGAAAATTAAACAAATACTAAGAAAACTGTAAAAAAATATCTAAAAAAACGTCTTCAAAAAAAAGCTTTTGGTAAAAAAATGTACTGAAAAGTAAAAAATATGCTTTTCTGTTAGAAAAGATAATTTGTTTACACATTTATAAACATTTATAAATGCTTTGGGAGTGGTTATAACACTACGACTAATTGTACAATTACTTTGCTCAGTTGACTGCCCCCAAAGCTTTTATAAATTATTTAAATCTTAATGTGTAAGTAAATGTTCTTGTCTATCAAAGTACATTTTC